ATGAACAAAGAAAAAATAAGTATATAGAATGCTTGGAGAACTGCATATACTTAAGTGTGACTAGAACATAGACATTATAGGGCAGGTGTTTTGTTTTTTGAGATGGTCTCCCATCTTTCACCCAGGCTAGAGTGCAGTGGCTTGATCTCAGCTCGCTGCAACCTCCAACTCCCAGGTTCAAGCGATTCTCCTGCCCCAGCCTCCCAAGTAGCTGAGATTACAGGTGGGCACAGCTAATTTTTATATTTTAGTAGAGACAAGAGTTTGACCATGTTGGCCAGGCTGGTCTTGAACTCCTGACCTCAAGTGATCAGTAGGGCAGGTTATTAAAGATAAAGATGTATGGGGTGCAATTGTATGGGCTTTGAGCTTAGACTAGTAGTTCCAAAATCTGTCTGTACATTGGCGTCACCTGGGAAACGTAAAAACCTGCCCATGTCCTTTCCCCTCTCCTTTGTAATTTAATTGAACTGGGGTGTGGCCCAGGGTTTAGAATGTTTGAAAGATCCTTGGGTGATTCTAATGTGCAGATGATTCTGGAACTTTAGTGGCTTAGGCCATTCTGTACAGTAGGAAAGATTTTTTAGCACCAGAATGACATGATCTGATTTATGTTTTAGGACAATAATTGGTGTAGGAAAAGAGAATGGAAATAGGACAACCTACTTTTTCACATTTCAGATAGGTTCTTTTTTTTTTTTTTTTTTTTTGAGACGGAGTTTCGCTGTTGTTACCCAGACTGCAGTGCAATGGCACGATCTCGGCTCACCGCAACCTCCGCCTCCTGGGTTCAGGCAATTCTCCTGCCTCAGCCTCCTGAGTAGCTGGGACTACAGGCACGCACCACCATGCCCAGCTAATTTTTGTATTTTTAGTAGAGACGGGGTTTCACCTTGTTGACCAGGATGGTCTCAATCTCTTGACCTCGTGATCCCCTGCCTTGGCCTCCCAAAGTGCTGGGATTATAGGCGTGAGCCACCGCGCCTGGCCACAGATAAGTTGTTTTTTAGGATCCCTTCACAACCACTTTCTTGTTCTCAGTCCAGGTTTAATGCCTCCTGTGAGTTTCTTTGTTTTTGTTTTGTTTTGTGTTTTTTGAGACAGAGTCTCTGTTGCCCAGGCTGGAGTGCAGTGGCACAATCTCAGCTCACTTCAGCATCCACCCCCTGGGTTCAAGGGATTCTCCTGCTTTGGCCTCCTGAGTAGCTGAGACTATAGGCACCCACCACCATGCATGGCTCATTTTTGTATTGTTAGTAGAGATGGGGTTTCACCATGTTGGCCAGGCTTGTCTTGAATTCCTGACCTCAAGTGATCCGCCTGCCTCAGTCGGCCAAAGTACTGGGATAACAGGCGTGAGCCGCAATGCCTGGCCCTCTCCTGTGAGTTTCTATAGCAGTGTTTCCCTTATCTTTGCACCTGTCACACTCTATTGTAATTCTTGTATCATAATGTAGAATATTGTAGAATAAACTTAGGGTTGAAACAACAAATTTGATTTTATGTAGGTTTGAAGCAGTTGGAAATACCGCTAAGATAAAGTATGAGCTAGAGGGGAGGATTTAGGAGTCAGTAGTATTTGGGTCAGTTGTTCTCAATCGTGGCTTTACATTAGAATTACCTGGGAAACTTAAAAACATTCCCAGTGCATGGCTCAGTTCTTGACCAATTAAATCATAATCTCTGAGGAGGGAGGTGGCGAGGCATCAGTACCTTTTAAAAATTCTTTAGGACATGATTCTATTGTAATCAGAGTTGAGGTCCATTGGCAGAGGTTAAGGAAATCATGTGGAACCAAAAAGGAGGAAGTTTACAGAAAGAACTGGGAGAGATACCAACATTTAAAGTAAATTCAGGAAGAAAGCCAGTGGAGGAAACCCTTGTAGACTAGGATACTGAGTCTTTGGTCTTTAGTGCTCTGCTTCTCTGTTGTAAGACTCTAGTTTGTTTTGTTTGAGACAGAGTCTCACTCTGTCACCCAAGCTGGAGTGCAGTGCTGTGATCTCAGCTCACTGCAACCTCTGCCTCCCGGGTTCAAGTGATTTTCATGACTCAGCCTCCTGAGTAGCTAGGATTATAGGCGCACACCACCACACCAGGCTAATTTTTGTATTTTTAGTAGAGATGGGGTTTCGCCATCTTGGCCAGGTTGGTGTTAAACTCAAGGGATCAACTTGCCTCAGCCTCCCAAAGTGCTGGGATTACAGGCATGAGCCACCACAACCTGGCTTGTAAGACTCTAGTTTTTTGGGTTTTTTATTATTTTTTTTTAGATGTTGGTTCCACTGGAGCTCAAACCCAGGACGTTCTGTGTGTAAAGCAGATGTGATAACCGAGATTCTCGTTTTATATCTACTTCTGGATACGTGACTTATGGGCTTGACTATATTTCCAACAGAACTTATATTAATCTGCATCTGCTTCTGGGAGAGTGCACCAATTTCTTTTCCCCTCATCTGCCATCCACTAAAACCTAAACAAACTGATCTTCACAAATATTCTCTGGTAGCCTATAAATCATTCTCTGTTCCCCTTCTAGTTACAGTAGTCATGTCTCAGCTTGCAGTTATGACTGACTCTTTGCATGTCATGAAAGGACAGGGTAGGCAAGAATGGGGCGTGTACACAATGCCAGGAATAGGGAGCAGCAGCAGAGGTGCCGCCAGGCTCCTCAAGACCAGCTGATAAAGGGTTGAGAGAGAAAGACAAATTGCACATTGGATCGAGAGCTCTCAGGTGTGTAGGGATTAGGTCAGTTATAGAACAAGCTCCAGTGTCTTCGCTCAGTGAGAAGAGAGAGGTGAGTTTGAGTTAGGGGAGTTACCAATCCAGCATGAAAGCTGCATTGCAAGGCATTGGATGGGCAGGAAAGAGATTGAGCTTAATTTAATGGACACTTACTAAACTGATACTAATAAAACATAATTTCTGCCTTCAGGCATTTTCAGTGTAATGAGGGAGACATTTGTACAATGGAAAGACAGAATGAAATAATCACTAAAAAGGCGTACAATAAAATAAATTATTTTATCTGATTAAGAAGATGGGAGGCTGGATGTGGTGGCTCATGCCTGTAATCGCAGCACTTGGGGAGGCTGAGATAGGAGGATTGTTTGAGGCCAGGAATTCAAGATCAGCCTGGAGAACATAGCAAGATACCATCTCTACAAAAAAAAAAAACTAGCTGGGTGGTACATGCCTGTAGTTCTAGCCATTTGGTGGCTATGGCAGGAGGATCCCTTGAGCCTGGGAGGTAAAGGCTGCAGTGAGCTATGATCATGCCACTGCACTCCTGCCTAGGCAACAAATGAGAACCTGTCTAAAAAAAAACAAAGGCCAGGTGCGGTAGCTCATGCCTGGAATCCTATCACTTTGGGAGGCTGAGGTAGGTAGATCGCTTGAGCTCAGGACTTCAAGACCAGCCTGGGCAACATGGCAAAACCCCGTCTCTACTAAAAAAGTACAAAAAATTAGCTGGGTGAGGTGGCACACACCTGTAGTCCCAGCTACTCAGGAGGTTGAGGTGGGAAGATTGCTTGAGCCCTTGAGGTCAAGGCTGCAATTAGCTATGACAGCACCACTGCACTCCAGGCTGGATGACATAGCAATACCCTGTCTCAGCAACAACAAGAAATTAGGCTGGGCACAGTGGCTCATGCCTATAATCCCAGAACTTTGGGAGGCTGAGGTGGGCGGATCATGAGGTAAGGAGTTGGAGACCAGCCTTGCCAATGTGGTGAAACCCTGTCTTTACTAAAAATATAAGAATTAGCCGGGCGTGGTGGTGTGCACCTGTAATTCCATCTACTTGGGGAGGCTAAGGCAGAAGAATCCTTGAACCTGGAGGCTCAGGGTTGCAGTGAGCCAAGATCGCGCCACTGCATTCCAGCCTGGGTGACAGAGTAAGACTCCATCTCAAAAAACAAACAACAAAAAATTTTAAAAAGAAGATGGGAAAACTTTGTGGAGAGATAGCACATGGGCTTGGCATCAAAATTAGAAAAATTTCAGAATCTTGGCAGCTGGGAAGTAGGGGTTGCATTTGAGGCTGAAGAATCAGCCTGAGTATTAAAATGTTTAGAGAATAGGCTGGGGAATCGCTTGAACCCGGGAGGCAGAGGTTACAGTGAGCTCAGACCATGCCACTAAACTCCAGCCTGGGCAACAGAGCAAGACTCCATCTCCAGAAAAAAAAGAGTAGTCAACAAAAGAAAAGCACTGTGGTTAGAGCATGTGGTAAGCTGGAAAAATGATGGGCGAGGCTGTTATTTTAATGCTGCCATTGGTATTACTGGTGTGATAAGGGCCACCTCTTTCCCTGTATTTAGGGAGGCCCAGAGATTTCTCAGGGCCTCAGCAAACTTCAACTGTATCAGTTCTTTTTTTTCTTCTTTCTTTTTTCTTTTTTTTGAGACGGAGTCTTGCTCTGTCACCAGGCTGGAGCGAAGTGGCTTGATCTTGGCTCACTACAACCTCCGCCTCTTAGGTTCAAGCAATTCTCCCGCCTCAGCCTCCTGAGTAGCTGGGATTACAGGCATGCACCACCACGCCTGGCTAATTTTTGTAGCTTTAGTAGAGGTGGGTTTCACCATATTTGTCAGGCTGGTCTTGAGCTCCTGACCTTAAATGATCTGCTCACCTCAGCCTCCCAGAGTGCTGGGTTTAGAGGCATGAGCCACTGCCCCCAGCCTCTAATTTTTTATTTTTATTTTTTGTAGAAACGGAAAATGTTGCTTAGGTTGGTCTCAAATTCCTGGGCTCAAACAGTCTGCCCGCCTTGGCCTCCCAAAGTGGTGGGATTATAGGCATGAGCCTCTGTGCCTGGACCACAGATTCTTATTGAGGCCTCTGTAAGTAGGCGGTTAATGCTCTATTGCCATTTCCCGCTGTATTTTTTATAAATATCAATTGTTTGGCCAATTGACTTCTGACTGTTTGTGAAACTGGAAATGAATAATAATGATGCCAAATGTCTAACCTCATTGCTTGCCCTTATACAGAATCCTCACTATGGATGGGCTCATTGAGGACATTAAGCGTCGGCGGTATTATGAGAAGCCATGCCGCCGGCGACAGAGGGAGAGCTATGAAAGGTGCCGGCGGATCTACAACATGGAAATGGCTCGCAAGATCAACTTCCTGATGCGAAAGAATCGGGCAGATCCGTGGCAGGGCTGCTGAGGCCTGTGGATGGGACACCCAGTGTGAAACCCTCATCCAGCTTTGTCTCCATCTCTTTTCTTTGTACAATCCCATTTCCTGTTACCATTCTCTACAATAAACTCAGTGACATGTTTGCAAGGCATCCACATATAGAAACAATCCCATTAGTCGGCAGTGGACCCTTTCTTTTATTACGTGAAAGAAGAAACAGCCTGAAAGTAGTCCAGGAGTAGAATGGTGTTTGCCAGGGACTGGAGGAGTGGGCAGGTAGGAGTTATTGTTTAATAGGTACAGAGTTTCAGTTTGGGAAGATGAAAAGGTTTAGGAGATGATGGCCAGGCACAGTGGCTCATGCCTGTTATCCCAGCACTTGGGGAGGCTGAGGCGGGCAGATCACTGAGCCTAGGAGTTAGATACCAGCCTGGCCAACACGGTGAAACTCTGTCTCCACTAAAAATAAAAAAATTAGCAGGTGTGGTACATGCCTGTAGTCCCAGCTACTTGGGAGGCTGAGGCAGGAGAATCACTTGAACAGCGGAGGTGGAGGTTGCAATGAGCCACTGCACTCAGCCTGGGTGACAGAGTGAGATTCAAAAAAAAAAACAGGAGATGGATGGTGATGGTGCCACTGAACTGTACGTTTAAATGGTTAAGATGGTAAATTTTAGGTTTTTCTACAATAATCTTTTTGAAAGTCTAGGAGAAGTAAGGAAATATTTCTTAATGTAGTGAAATATATTTCCTCAATTTTTATGAATCCCCAAGCAAAATTAGAAAGCATCTGTTACTTTTAATTAAACTGTTCCCCATTAGATACATGCATGTATTTGGGATAAATTCTGCTTCGGAAAACACCTGTCAACAAGATGCGTGCTAGAACCCTTGCCCAAAGAAAGTTTTAAAACAAATCTAGTCCAATGTTCATTCCTGTTTTCTGTCCTTTTAGTTTTCCTAACAGAGACTAAGAGAAGGATGGTGGATAAGAAATAAAGCAATAGATGGATGGGACTCAGTAGGAAAGAGGGAATGGAGTATTGACAGAGAGAAAGGCACAGAGCCAGAAATAACCTATAGCAGGGCTTCTCATAGTGTCCAGATGAGCGTCAATTTCTCTCACCAGAGAAAGTGCTTGAAATGCAAATTACGGGACTCTGCTTTCTATCTTCGATATTGGAAATTGGGGTTGGAGCCCAGCAATCTATTTTCAGAAGCTTTGCAGGTGATTCTGATGCCTGCTTGAGTTAGAACCACTGACCTTTGCAGAACTCAAGAGACTTCATGTGGAGGTTCCCACCATCACTGCCTCTATCCAGCAGGCACTCCTGGGTATAATACTTTGACAGCTGGGGAAACTAACCACTGTGGGAAAACCAGCAGCTCTGCTTTTTCTCCTGCTGTTTTCTCCATCCTTGGTTGGCTGACAGCCATGCTACTAGTATAAGAGATGATGCCAGCTGGGCAGAGTGGCTCACATCTGTAATCCCAGCACTTTGGGAGACCAAGGCGGGCAGATCAGGAATTCAAGACCAGCCTGGCCAAGATGGTGAAACCCTGTCTCTACTAAAAATCAAAAACGAGCTGGGTGTGGTGGCAGGCACCTGTAGTCCCGGCTACTTGGGAGGCTGAGGCAAGAGAATCACTTGAACCCAGAAGGCAGAGGTTGCAGTGAGCTGAGATTGCCTCACTGCACTCTAGACTGAGTGACACAGTGAGACTCTGTCTCAAAAAAAAAAAAGGTGAGGCTCAGTAACTCATGCCTGTAATCCCAGCACTTTAGTAGGAGTCTGAGGTGGGTGATCACCTGGGGTCAGGAGTTTGAGTCCAGCCTGACCAATATGATGAAACCCCGTCTCTGCTAAAAATACAAAAATTAGCTGGGTGTGTTGGCAGGTGCCTGTAATCCCAGCTACTCAGGAGGCTGAGGCAAGAGAATTTCTTGAACCCGGGAGCCAGAGGTTGCAGTGAGCTGAGATCACACCATTGCACTTCAGCTTGGGCAATACGAGCAAAACACCATCTCAAAAAGAAAAAGAAAAAAAGAATTGGTGCCCAATTCCTGCAGGAGAATCAGAGGGGAGGCGGAGGCCACTAGCCCACCTTTCCTTACTCAGGCTGCAGGCCTCTCAGCATGGTGTTAAAAAAGAAAATAAACAGTGCAGAGCTGTCTGCCAAGCAGCTTACCCCTGAGATTACTAGTGTTCAAATATTGCCCCCTTGTGGTGTAGTAGAGTGGCTTCAGATTTCTGGCCTTAATTCTGTCTTTTAAATATATTTTCTTCCTTTCACAATTACCATACTTAACTAATGAAGTGGGGCCTGCAAAAAAAAAAAAAAAAAAAAATACGTGGGAACCACTGTGGTCCCTGCCTCTTAGGGATTGATCATTTTTACTCCATTAGCAGTAAGGCCCAGGGAATAAAGCATATTATTGGACCCTCCATAAAAATTGCTCAGAAATACATCTTCTCCTTGCCCTCATGTTGGAGAAAATCTGTATGCAGGCTGTCTTCAACTTTATTCCTTTTATACAACCTAGTTTTAACAAACAAGTTATGATAATTCTGAATGACCTTTAAATCTGAATCTGGTCTTTAGTACATTTTAATGATATTGAGCTATGACATAGTGTCATCTACCACAGTGCTAAGGCATGTTTGTGATAACAGAACCAGTCCTGTTACTTGGCATTATTCCCCTGGGGCTAAAGTTACTTCTGTGCTCCCTCCAAAATACTAAGAGGTGGCTGAGATTTCAATTTTCTTAGTCTCTGAAAATTTTCCCCCACTTCTTTTAATCTTCAGTCCTATTGCCCATGCTCCCCCAGAGCAGTGAACAATGATGGGTTTTTACCAGCTAACCAGTTGGGAGGCCTCATAAATGGAAAAGGTGGCTGGATAAAGTTCCAATCTGCTTATGCTATGATGCTAGGGAGAAAAACTTTCCACTCCTTGCTCTGGGAAGCTAGAAGATAACTTGGCATGCTTTAATGAGTAGGGGTTGCACTAATCTTTTAAGTCCTGCATTGGTTTCAGAGGAAGGTTGGTTTGGTGTTTACCCAGTTACAGGATGATAGGTAAGTACCTCCTACCCTGATCTTTGGCACCTGTGAAATCTCTTAGCTGTTTACTGAAGTGCCTCTGGCAGGCCTGCTGCAATAATAATTTAAGGATCTCTCTTTTGTTGTTGTTTTTTGTTTTTGTTTTTTTTTAGAGACAGGGGTTTCACTATGTTGGCCAGACTGGTCTTGAACTCCTGACCTTGTGATCCTCCCGCCTCGGCCTCCCAAAGTGCTGGGATTATAAACAGGAGCCACCGCGCCTGACCAAGGATCTCTCAATATAGTGCTCTGGATATAGAAAATTGGAACTGTGTTGAGTAATTCTGACGTTGTACTTTCAACTTTTCCTAAGTGCATCAAGTACAAAATAAGAGTTTATATTTTAAGTGAGAATGCTAAGGAATAATCACTCATTGTATACTAACCAGGTTAAGGAATAGTGTTTACATAATAATTGAAGGGAAAAGAAAATGTTGGAACTTCCACTATGTGCCAGCTACCTTATGTAATTTTTACTTAGTCAAAAAAATCTGAATTCCATCATGATCTTGGTACGTTATTTAACATAAACCCTTGTTTCCCCTGTAAAATCAGGATAATGGTATCTATAGGTTTTTTGTTTATTTTTGAGATGGAGTTTCACTCTTGTTGCCCAGGCTGGAGTGCAATGTACCAAGTGCTTGAACTTGGTTTGCTGCAACCTGTGCCCCCCAGGTTCAAGCAATTCTCCTGCCTCAGCCTCCTGAGTAGCTGGGATTACAGGCATCCGCCACCATGCCCAGCTAATTTTGTATTTATAATAGAGACAGGGTTTCTCTGTGTTGGTCAGCCTGGTCTCAAGCTCCCAACCTCAGGTGATCTGCCCGCCTCGGCCTCCCAAAGTGCTGGGATTACAGGCATGAGCCACCACACCTGGCCAGTATCTATAGGTTTTTAATGAGGATGAAATAATGGAATGCATGTCAAGTACTTAGCACAGTGTCTGGCACACAAAACACAATGGATGTGAGCAATTAATTATAGTCCCCTAGTGTTGTGCCAGCCAGACACCTGATCCTTGATCCTTTTTTTTTTTTGAGACAGGATTTCACTCCCGTCATTCAAGCCGGAGTGCAATGGCTTGATCCTGGCTCACTGCAACCTCTGCCTCCAAGGCTCAAGGGATTCTCCTGCCTCAGTCTCCCAAGTAGCTGGGACTACAGGCACACACCACTGCACCTGGCTAATTTTTGTATTTTTTCTAGAGACAGGGTTTCACCATGTCAGCCAGGCTGGTCTGGAACTCCTGGGCTCAAGTGATCTGCCTTCCTTGGCCTCCCAAAGTGCTGTGATTACAGGTATGAGCCATCACACCCGGCCCAGACATCTGATCCTTGATTCCTCCTCCCCATTCAACCATGACTAGCATGTGTTTAATCCCTTCTGGCTGTCTCTATGATGAAATGCTACAACCCTATCCCATCATAACTCTTCTGGATTACTACAACAGCTATTTGACTCTCACCTTGTTTGGCTTCAATCCATTCTCGCTTTGGCCAGAGTGATTGTTCTAAGATGCAACGCTGATCTTTTCACTTTCCTGCTTAAACTGATAATTAGTTCCATTGCTTTCAAAAAATCTAAACCACTTAGCATGGCATTTAAGGCTCTTCATGATTGAACCCTGCTTTTCTCAATACCCAATTATCCCCTCAAATGCACTTCTGGATCACAGCACATGCTGTTTTCTCCTCTCCCTGGTACACCAGCTCTTAGTTGGATTTTTTTTTTTTTTTTTTTTTTTGAGATAGGCTATCTGTTGCTTAGGTTGCAGTACAGTCCTATGATCATGGCTCACTGCAGCCTTGACCTCCTGGGCTCATGTGATCCTCCCACCTCAGTCTCCCAAGCAGCTGGGACCATAGGTGCATGCCAACACACACAGCTAATTTTCATATTTTTTGTAGAGATGAGTTTGGCCATTTTATGTTGGCTTGTCTTCATTCCTGGGCTCAAGTGATCTACCACCTCTGTGTCCCAAAGTGTTGAGATTACAGATGTGAGCCACCATGCTTGATCCTGGAATATTTCCTAACATGCCTTCCTTGATCCGTTTACCAGC